CCCTCCCGGTGTATCCAAGCCCCTGACTTGTCTAGGGACGTTAGGGGCACCTTGTCCCGCTGAGCTGTTATTCAAACCTTTCCCGTGCTCCCACAAGTTACACCAGAGTGAAGCGAGGACAGGGTAACCCGTGGTCTTTGGTGGTGCTTCTGGCACCTTGGATGCCTGGACTGGGAGAAAGAAGCTGGAGGATTATTTGGCCTCCAGACGGGTGCCCACCACGCGTTTCCACTTCTTTATGACCCTAAAACTTCCCTGCTGTTGATCTGGCTTCTTGATTCTCTTCAATCTCCGCTCCGCCCCGCTGCAAACCATACAGATGGCCATGGCACAGATTAGGGTGACAAGCGCGAGTCTGTTTGCTCAACCACAGAAAAGGGGAAGAAATATTGGCTGAGTAACTGAGGTACAGAGTTTGGGGGTGTGGTGGACGAATCACGGTGGGGGGGAGGTCTGGGGGAGCAAGGGAGGGCACTCCATCCCTGAGAATCTTGAATCTGGTATTTCTTTAAATGTACACATGTACATAAAATAAAGCTGGCTGGACAGCTCATTGAGTTAGGCACCCGGCTATGGAGTCAGAGGCTGGGAGTTCAATTCCCTACTATGCATCCCAGCAGAATCGGTCTGTGTGGCCTCAGACAAACGGCACAGTCCCAAAATATCCCCAGAAGAAGGGAACAGTAAAATACTTCTGACTACTGTCTACCTAGAAAATCCTGGAAAGGGTTGCCGTAAGTCAGAAGTAACTTGATGGCACACAATTATTATTGTTATTACATGAAGCAAAAACACGCACACTCCAGCTACGTGGAAAGAAGCGTAGGCAGAGCTAAGCTAAGGAAGAGAATAGCCCCCCTTGCCCCTCTTCGAAATGATTTCTGTGGATGTTCCTGGGATGAAACGAGGGTTCATCAGCATCCAAAGCCCAGGTTTTTCAGATGTAGGTTGATATATACTCCACACCTAATGATCTCCTTCCAGAGTCGAAGTTTTGCACATCTGGAAGGCTTCAGATAGAGTGCAGGGCTGTAGCTTGTGCCTGTGACAAAAAACGTAGAAAAAAACTCTTTCTACAAATATGTTTCAATACAAACAAGATGAGAACTCAAACACACAGACTATGGCCAGGGCGGCTGTGTCGTTTAGCCCCGTGCAATGTTTACCATGGTTGATGAAGCTTTCTGAACCTGCTTCTTGTGTGCTTGTTTGCCTCTGGGCATCAGTGTCTTGTTCCCCCCCCCCCCCTTTTGTTCCAATGCACCAGTTTCGTCAGCGCTTTGTCAGTATTTCTGTCTTTTTCCTGTGAAATAAACCTAAGACAGTTACTACATTCTCTGTCATATGAGTAAATAAACCCCCTTGTACCAAACCTATGATCACATGTTTCCTTAACAAGCTACCTAAAGAACATGATACACGGGACTGCTTGTGCACAACTTGTGACTGTCCAGACACTATTAGGCTGTGACTCCCATTGCCCCTGGTCCTTTTGCCTGCCTGCGGTCCCCAGAGGCTAGGAACGATTGAACTGTGCAATATTGTTTGAGCTGCCCTATGGCTTCTCCTGCCACTCGCAGTGTTTGTTTAGAATTTAGTTGCAACTCGGTTGGGACCCCTTAATTATGCCAGTTGATGCACAACCAGCCTGACTTGCTTCATAAGAAGAGGTAGCCTGCATGTAAGCCACCTTGTGTTTAGGCAGCCTTGAACCTAAATGGTGTTCATTCTGGCCTGTGGAGGATGATCAACTGCCCAAACCCACAGGAAGAGCTAAAGTTGGGAAGCACTCCTTTGGTCTTCCAAATTCTTATTCGGTCTCTTTTTTTAATTCCTAGACGTCGCATTGGTCCACATGTTTGCCTGTCTGGTTTTGGAAGTGGCTGCTGTCCTGGGTGGACACCATCTCCGGGCAGTGGGCAGTGCATCCTGCGTAAGTGCTTTATAGAAAGCAACATGTCTTGTTTATGATCAGTATTGCTCCCGAAACTCTTCCTTGGGTTAAAATAATCTTTGAAGAGCATTCAAGGAATTTTTAAAAATGGGTGAGATATTTAGCTGAAGTCAATAGGCCAGTCTAGCCTACCATGACACCAACTTGGTACAAGATTAAATGGGCACCTTTTAATAGACCAAGGAACACTAAAAATGTTTATAAATATTTAGTTTAATTGCATGTTGCCAAATCAATTCCAACTTATGGCAATCCTTTGTGGGGTTTCCTAGGTATAGAATACTTAGAAGTGCTTTTCTAGTCCCTTTTTTCTGGAGGTGCTCTGAGACCATGTGGCTTGCTCCAAACCACACAGGCTGGCTCTTGTCCTTCAAGGCATAGTGGGGAACACCCAACCTGGCTCAGTGAGCTACCCAGCCAGCTCATGGAGGAGGTAAATAAGGTATTTCGGAATTTTCAGAACTTTGTTGAGCTACAATTCCAGAGATTCTTTGCGGGGGTGGGGAGCTATGAGAGATAATGTGTCATATAAAAACATGTCATGTATTACTTAAAAGTGATCCTATGAATGAATGACTCCAAAAGGTCCTATCATTAATACTGCTATTAAGGTCTTACAAGCTAAGGTCCATGTCAATCTGTTTCATGTTAAGTCTTCCTCTTTTCCTACTGCCATCTACTTTTCCCTAGCAGTATTTTCTCTTCCAGGGGGTCTTGTCTTCTTGCGATACGTCCAAGGTATAATACAGTCACATTTTGACTTCTAACAAGAGTTCATGCTTGATCTGATGTTGAACACATCGTATCTGTAAGGCTGTCCTCCAATACCACATATTAAAATTGTCTCTCCTTTTTTCCTGTCAGTTTTCTTTATTATTTAGATTTCACATCTGTAATGAAGAATATCAGAGTATGGATGATATTGATCTTAGTTTTCAGTGACACATCCTTACATTTAAGGATCTTTTCTAGTTCCTTCACAGCTATCCTTCCAAGTTTCAGTTTTCTTCTGAGCTCTTGGCTGCAGTCCCTGAGCCAAGGTATCGAAAATCTTCACCTATTTTGATTTCTTCAGTATCAATATTATTTTACTGTTATGTGCTGATAGGTCACCTTGAAGTAAGAGTTTCATTTAATTGATTTAAATTTAATTTATATTGGCTCTTATTTCAAAATATTTGATTAATTCTCACCCTATGAACGAATGGTTTCCAAAATGTTGTGAGTGATTTTACATTACAGTTATATAATTCTTCTTTAATTATTTTAATCTTTTTAATTATTAGCTGTAATCATGCTTTGTACTTTCCTCTTTAACCTTCATCAGTTGCTTCCATTTAAATTTAAAATAATTACTGTTTTCTGCCAGCAAAGTTTATTTGTTGATTGGTTTATCTGTTTATTACATTTTTATACCACCCCAGAGTGAACAGGCATTCTCTGAATGGTGTACAAACAGCCAGTATACCAAATTGCAGAAAACAACAATGAAATCAACAATAACATATTAATAAGCAACAAGAAGGCAAAGATAGCAATAAAGGTACAAAAGGCGTAATATCCTAATATCTTAAATTATTGCTATTGCTTCCACCAGTTTTCACATCTCTAACAGAATAAAATCCAGCTCTTTCTATGATACATTCTGTGTATTCTAGCTTGAAATAATCCTTTTGGTATCCCCATTTACTTCTATTGATTTATTTCTTCCACCTACTTGAAGAGTAGCTTTCACTTCACCTTCTAAAACTGAGAATTCTTCATCAAAATATTATCCTTTAAAGGAATGCATCATGCTTGTATCCCTTCTGTATAGTTCTTTAGCATATTGTGTCCATTTTCTCTTTAATTTATTCCCATCAGGTACTATATTCTCCTATTGATTTTCTTCACAATTCTAATCTTGGTTTAAAATTTCCTTTGGTTCCTTTGATCTTATGGATGAGATCTATTGTTTTAATTTTTTGGTTGTTCTATTTCTTTGCAATGTTGGAAGCAACTAAAGGTCCTTTCAGCTGAAATAAGCAACTGGAGGATGTTTCAGCTTTCATCTCATTGCTTCATTGAGAATTCAGCCATTTGTACTCATCTTTTGCTTTCCCCCAAAACACAATTTGACCCGAGAGTCTCATTTTCCAGCACTAGGCCTTCTTGGATGGCCTTAAAATGGTAAAGAGGTTGGTTTGTATCATGAAAGCTGAGAGCAATATCCCCATGAGGTTAGATTTCTTTAGAAGTCTAGACTAGAGATGGGGGTATTCGTATTTATGTACGAATATCCTAAACGACTAAACAACACCAACAAAATCCCCACACAGGTAGTGTTGACGAAGGTTCAGCCCCATGGAGCCGGACGGTCCACTCACCGATCCACCACAGATGTGGACAGCAGGATTCTACCAATGGCTCTGCAGCACATGATCCGCTCATCACTCCTAGCATGCGGCGGGAGGACAAGACTTTACCAATGGCTCCGCAGCACATGATCCGCTCACCACTCCTAGCATGAGGCGGGAGGACAAGACTTGCTGCAAGTTCTAAGAGTGGCGAGTGGATGGAGCGCTGCGGAGCCGTCGATAGAATACAAATACCCTCATCTCTAGTCTATACTCTTAATGGAGCCATACAAGGCAGAAAAACCAACGTTGACACACCAGACATGGATCCACTCTTTCTTTTCAGCAATATCAGCTGCATCGACAGAAGAGAATGGATAATTGGAATGGCAATGGGGCCAGACAAATTATTGAAAGGCAGTTACTGGGCAAAAGCAGCAGTGAAAGGCAGAAAGAGGGTCTTTCATAGACGATCGCAGCAGCATTCCGAGCCATTCTTGTTAGTACTGCACAGGCGAAGGCAATGGTAAACCACTTCCGGCTGTTTTATGCCTTGACAACCCTGTGATGATGGCTCACTTTACTGCACACTTCTCTACCATGCGGCTATAAAGATAGTGCATAATGCCATGCCATCACACCTGTCAAAACAGAATTTTCCCACTGTAGCACTGCTGAAACATAATACCGTGCCAATATGAAGCTCTTCTACATCTGTTTTCAGTTCTGGTGCTCCCCATTTGAGTTGTTCATTTGTCTGCCTAATGACATATATGATCCAGCTGTTGATGCCTTAGTGGCTACTCCCATCTGTTCTCATTCATTTCAAGCATCTGGTCATTGAAGAGGGGAACAGTCAGTGCAACAACCATTTTTTGCTAGAGATCACGACAGCTACAGTTTGCCGAGCCCAGACCTGGAGCTGTGCCTCCTGTTGTAGTGAGGCATGTGGCAGAATTGCCTGTACAGAAATTATGGATGAGAGATAAATTTGTGGGAGAAATATTGATAGAATAGGAGTTACTAGATTGTTCCTTTAAAAAAAAAAAAAGCATGCATTTATATTCTGAGGGCATTCCGGATGGTGCTGCTGACTTGTTCTTTGGGAAAGGCAAGGCAAGGCAGCTGTGATTTTCATTTTGCAATAAATCCTAGCATTCAGACCATGCAAAGTTTGCACAGCATGGGGACTGCAGTTCTATAATGAAACGAGGGAGATCTAGTCAAGAATTCTTAGTATGCTCACTAAATGACTAGCAGAAATTTCCTTGGAGGAAGCCTTTATATATCATGATAGATGATGATAGGCAGGGTAGGAATGCTCATTGAGTAAAAACAAGCTTGCATTTTTATATAAACTAGAACAGTGGTTCTTAACCTTTGTTACTCGGATGCTTTTGAAGTGCAACTCCCAGAAACCCCAGCCAGCACAGTTGGTGGTGAAGGCTTCTGGGAGTTGCAGTCCAAAACTCCTGAGTAACCCAAGGTTAAGAACCAGTGAACTAGAATACTTAAGGTTGCTTTCTTAGAAGTAAGCACCATCGGACAAAATGAGATTCCTCACAGAGCATGTGTCACAAGTAACAATGTTAAGTATAAAGCCTACTGACTTTTGTAAAGTAATGTAGTTTTTGGTAAGTAGAGATGGGGGTATTCATATATGAATATCCCTGCACAGGTAGTGTTAACGAGGCTCCAGCCTCATGGGGCCGGACGGGCCACTCACCAATCCAATGCGGATGGCGCGATTGTACGAATAGCTCTGCAGCGCGTGATCCGCTCGCCACTCTTCGAGCTTGCAGCAAGGCTTTTCCCCCCGCCTCCTGCCAAGAGTGGTGAGCCGATCGCACGCTGCAGAGCCATTGATAGAATCCTGACATCCACGTCCACGGCGGATCAGTGAGTGGACCATCTGGCTCCATGGGGCTGGACCCTCGTTAACGCCACCTGTGCAGGGATATTTGTATACGAATACACCCCTTCTCTACATAGCACTGTTACTTTGGGGATGTGGTAAGTAATGCTTGCCCATTACTTAAAATAGTGTTGATGAAATAATTTTGGAAGATTTTGTCCATTATTTTTTTTTTAAATGATGGTGGTGGTGTAATTGGAAGTAATGTCATTCTTCAAATAACAAGTAATGTTAACAAGTTAATTTTCAAAATACTAACAATAGAAACAGCGAATTGTCTTTTAAAAATGGCACCCCAAGTTTTTAGGGTGCAACTACAGTAGTGTGGCTTGATTTGCCATCTCTTGTACAGCTGTATTCAGTTTAGGTGATCATAGGGAGACTACAGATGGTTTTGGTGCCAATGTCCACACTGGCCCTCCATCCAATGTGTTTTGATATATGCCTATATCCCACAGTCCCTCTTGCCTTTGATACCATTCACCTGGCAATTCACAGCTCTCCTTTCTTATCTTTCTTATCTTTCTTATCTTTCTTATCTTTCTTATCTTTGTGCAGAAGTGATCTAGTGCTAAAGTAACGTATCAATGCAGTGATAAAATGATCTAGTGCTAAATTTGATAGTTTGTTTAAAAGATTTTTTTTTTAAAAAAAAAACCTTTGGGGTGAATAAGGAGAAAGATTGAACGAGTGAGTGTTCCCACTGTCCCAAAACATCACGTCCAGCTTAGTAAGTCACCACAACACAACACAAGAGTTAAAAAGATTTTTTTTTTTAAAAAAAAAACACCTTTGGGGCGAATAAGGAGAAAGATTGAACAGGTGAGTGTTCCCACTGTCCCAAAACATCATGTCCAGTAAGTCACCACAACACAACTCAAGAGTTGTGCTCCCCTTCTTTTGTAGAACGAATTAAAGAATTAAAGAGAAAACACTGTTCAAATCATTCTGGCTTTTGAAATGTAGAAGTCCCCAGGGGCAGGAGGAAAATCTCCAAACCAGAAATGAAAACAGCTGGGCTGATTTGCATAGAGCTTTGCATCATGGGATGATTGAAAACTACTTCAAATTCACCCGTACTAATTGCAGGCAAATCCCAAAGTATTTGTCATTGAAACAGCAGCCTTACTGTTCCTGATTGAACCTACATAGGCTTGTCTGTTTTCCCAGTTCAAAGGTAGGCAGATTGCAACCTTGGAGCTACATGCATCCTATCAAGGCTGTATTTGTTGAACCTAATCCTCCTCTGCCCCTCTCTTGTGCAAAACAAAAATTCCAAAACAAAGGAATTGCCACTGAAGTGTGTAGGCATCCTTCAGTCTTGAGAGACTATGGTATTCTCTGAATAGAGGTTGCGGAACAGCGCCTAGTGTGGCTGAGAAGGCCAATTCGAGAGTGACCATCCCTTCCACACTGAAGACAAGTACAATCTGTCCCCTGTCCAGCTTCCTGATTTTGCTGGTTTCGGGACTTCCTCTTTGCCTCAGCCTGTTAGACAAGGGTCTCTTCAAATTGGGAGAGGCCATGATGCACCGCCTGCCTCCAGGCTGAACACTCAGATGTCAAGGTTTCCCATCTGTTGAGGTCTATTCCTAAGGCCTTCAGATCTCGCTTGCAGATATCCTTGTATTGCAGCTGTGTTCTCCCTCTGGATCTGCCACTGAAGAAGCCACCAGTATCTACAGCTTAATCTTTTAAATATGTTGCAGGGGCATCCTGCATTGTTAACACACACATATAAAAAACTCATTGGATTTCTAGCTACTTTCACTTTCATTTTGGGGACTTGAGGCATTTTAACTGTCCTACAACAGACAGTGTTACTAATACCCAACTTCCTGGTATCCTACTGTGACTCGATTATGTGTATTTTTAATGACTAAATTGAGTTTTGATCCCATTTAACCCAGTCATTCATTTTTTGGAAAGACTTTCCCAGAAACGCTGTGTTCCTCTGCTTTAAAGAGAAGCTGTAATTGCTGTAACTGTAGCTGTGCCTTGACAGACCAGTGTGTCTCTCCTGCCCGGGCTCTTCTGTTCTTGGGGTGGGAGATGTCCTCTTCTACCTGTTTGAAGGTTCGTTATCGTTCTTGCCTGGCCTGATTGACACCTGTCTTGTCCTCTCTCACAGCACTTTGTTCCTTTGGCTGTGGCAGTGGTTTCTGCATTGCTCCCAATGTCTGCTCCTGTAGGGATGGAGGACAGGGCATTACCTGTCAAGGTAAGGAGATATCTCTAGAATACTGCTAGAGTTTTGGTTTGCCATCAGGACTGAAGCAGAAGCCAACCAAATGACCACAAGCTGGAGGCTTTCTGTTTCTGGGCTTGGGGAGGCATTAACATCTGGTGGTTGGGAGGCAAAGGTGACAAGTGAGTGGGTTTGCAAACTACTGTACCATCTAGGACTTTTGAACTTTTATTAATAGCAAGATAGAAATAATTTCTGCTGATGTCTCTTCTTTCAACCGTGTTGCATTCCTGTTCTTCATTTTTCAAATAGTGATGTTAATTCCCCTAGGGAGCATCACCCTGACCCAAAATGGCATATTCTGAACCCAGCTATTGGCTGCTGCCACCCACTGTCAAGTAAAATGAAAAGGTGGGATTCATTTATGTAGAAAGGGGCCCCCTTGAACCTAAAGTTACCCATTAGTTTTGCAGGCAAGTGGAGGACAGAAGTCAGACTGGGTCTTACTCAGGCAGGACTTTGGGCAAATATCATTCAGCAGAAAGAGCAGGAGGATACACTGCTATTTAAAGAGACTACTATGCTTAATGAACTCTCCATTAAACTTAGAACCTGACATTAACTAAGTACACAAATGAAATCAAATCTTTATATTTGCATTTGTTTGTTTAAAATGTTCTCCCAACAAAAAGGACCCAAGGTAGGTTACCAGGCTTTAAAGAAAACAAGTATCAAAATAGTTAAAAACACGATCAATTACAATATGAAAAAAAATTAACTTATTACAATTAAAACTACTGAAAAAAAGAGATTTAAATGCATCATTCAAAAGATTTTTTAAGATCTCCCACCTTAAAAACCCCATCCTCAGCAGCCAATTATTTACCTAAAAGCCTGCCTTAAAAGAAAGGTTTTTGTACTTGTGTATGGGGCCATGCTTATTCAATCCCTTTCAGTGAAGTCCTATTTCCCTGTCTTACAAAACTACCTTGGAATCTGCCCTTCTTGTCTTTTCAGAGCCTCCCGGTGCCTGTGGAGAGTATGGCTGTGACATTGCCTGCAATCATGGGGGCTGCCAGGAGGTGGCGCGGGTGTGCCCTCTGGGATTCTCCATGACTGAGACAGCCAATGGTGTACGTTGTGCAGGTAAGCTAAAAGATTTCCTCACCATGAACTTCAGCACTATTTCTGGACATAACAGGCAGACTGTACACAATGTCCAGTCATTGGTTTACCACAATAATATGCATGTGGAAATGCAGCTAACTGTGGCAAGTATAGCACGTATTAAGGAACGACTTTCTATCCATGTTAGTCAGTTATGGGTGCGGGAGAGAAATAACACACCCAAGCACACTATTTTAGCAGTCACTGCTGTTAACTCTCAACGAAACAACCTTCCTTTCTATTCTCTACCGCCTTCCCAAACTCTCTCTCAGCTCCAAACTCAAACTCCAATCTCCCTCTAATCTCCAATCTAAATCTCTCCTCCCCCTGCAGAGACTCTTATACCTCGTGCCTCCAACCCTCCAGCACCCTCATTGGTCCATGCAGACAGCATATTAATATTCATGACCTGGGCGGACACCACAGAGGGCAAGGCAAGCTAGGCATTATCAGATAAAGAGGGCAAGGCAAGCTAGGCTAAATAAAATGCCAAATAAGACTAGGCATCTCAAGAAATGAACTGAAGTCAATTTTTAAAACTGAAAATCAACTTTGTGCTGCTAAAATGGCACAGACTGCTGACCAGAAAAATGATAGTGAATGTGGCCCAATATGGAGAGGAATAGCAGTAGATGTCAGTCACCCAAAATGTCACTGCATGTCTAAACAATAGCTCTTAAACAAGATAGAGCACCACAGTGTAGGACCCCACACAGTGGATTCAGACTATAAGAATGGAGATTTCGACTAAACATTAGAAAGAACTTCCTGATGGTAATTACTGTTGAGCAGTGGAATGGGCTACTTCAGGAGAAGGTTGACACTCCTTCACTGGAGTTTTCTAAACGGGTTGATAGCCATTTGTCAAGGATGTTTCAGCTGTGGACTTCCTGCTTCATCAGAGGACTGGATTTGATGATGCTTGGGATGGGCACGAATTAAAAAAAACAAATAACAAAATTTGTTCAAAAGATTGCTTATTCATTAATTTGTATTTGTATGAATCAATGCCCCCGATGAATACAAATCAATGAATTTTAGTACTTTTGATTCATTGATTCATTTGGCTATAAAACACACACACCCTGACATCTGGAGACACCAAAATTGCAGCAAGGCTTCCTCTGAACTCTCCTCTATAATTCCTCCAAGTTTGTGAAGAATGGGTTTCCCCAAGCCAACTCTAAAAGGCACTTTCCTGGAGGGACCTCCTTGTGGGTGCATAATTCAGACCTCTGAAATCCAATCTTCACCAAACTTGTAGGGATTGGGGAGTCAGGGAAAGCATTTCTGTGAATTTGGTGTCTCTAGGTGCCTGGGTGGCATTTTATAAGGTTTTAAAGTAAAAAAAAAAAATGAATTGACAAATCGATTCATCAATTAGTCAGAAAAAAGTCATAAATTTAGAATTGTGACTTGATGAATCATGAAGCAAAAAAAAAAATTTCTGATTCGTGCTGATCTCTACCTCCAGTTTTATAATTCTACAAAGAGCTTTGTCGCAACTTGGGGCCTACAGAAACTGCCATGCTGATCTGTTCTTTTCTAAACATTGTGAGCTGTATCCTATAATTGGAGCAACATGAAGAAAGCACGTTATATCATGTTGGTGGATTCACTTTTGAAAGCAGTTCTGAAGTAAACAGCTAGTATGAAAGCATCCCAAAACCCCAGGCATTGTTTCCATTGTCTGTGTACTTCCTGTCCGCAGCTGAATATGGTACCAGTTATGGGACTTGGTCCAGGAATTGTTTTTGAGAAAGTGAAAGTTGACACATATGCTTCCAGCAGTGATCATTAGCATAGAGCAACACTTTTGTGGAAACTTGCTTTGCCATGCGTAGCATTTATCTAATGTTTCTCAGTGGCACAGCAGACCTCAGAAAGGAAAAAAAAATGCCTATTTTGATATGTCAAGCTTTGATAAGTAGCTGTGATGTACTTGTTTGGTTTTTGATGCCTGTGTGCCTCTTTTCCATCAACCATGACCACAAAGGCTCTTTCTTTCAGCAATTTCTCTTTGGGTTCCTGTAAAGCTCGACCCATCTATTTCCCTTCTTACGTTCATAGACAATATATTTTCCCTAGACATTGACGAATGCCTGAGCGCTTCTTGTGAGGGGCTCTGTGTGAACACAGAAGGTGGTTTTGTGTGTGAATGTGGCCCAGGAATGCAACTTTCTGCTGACCGACACACCTGTCAAGGTGAGTCTGACTGCAAATGGAGGAGGAAAGGGGAGATGGGAAAATATTTAAAATATTCTAGGAGCTGGTAAAAGCAGCTTTTGTAGGATTGTTAGTGATGATGGACAAGTTCTGCTGACAATACTGCTGTCCATTTTGAACCCCAGACACCGATGAATGCCTAGCCACACCCTGTCAGCATCACTGCAAGAACAGTATTGGCAGCTATCGATGTTCCTGCCATCCTGGTTTCTACCTGCATGGCAACCGGCACTCCTGCGTTGGTGAGTGTCCCACCTTTTAGTGGGAAGCTAAGCAGAAACAAGTTACCTCACAGTATTAAGAAGCAGCAGTCTAACCTAAACTTCCTTCTTGAGGTTCAATTTCATTTAAGATACATGGCTTTAAAAAAGAGAAGCCATAGCACCTTGGAAATGAAACCTCTATTGTTTATTTTATTTACTCAGGTTCTGAAGGGCTTTCCAGAAAAAATATTGCTTTTACTGCCTGACAGTTTAGTATGTAATGAGTAAACCGCTTTTCTTAGGTTAAACCAAAACTTCCTTTTTAAAAACAGGAACAGAGCCAGTAGCAGGATTTGATAGGATCTGATTTTATTTTATTTTATTTGTGGGGCATGATGTTGTGTGATAGTTGCTATTCGTAAGGCTGACCTGAGATTTTTTTTTACCTGAAGAGAAGGACTTGAGGTACCCCTTTCCAAGTTCTGTACAAAAGCTGACTAGACTGGCAGCTGTAACTGCTTTTGACACCGGGAAGCCATTTCCAGTGAAGCTGAGGGCAACGTGCTACTTTTGGGAGTGGAGGGTAGTTCACCGTATGGCCCACCATGGCTTCTGACCTCTCACTGCCACTCCTCAGCTCCCGCTTCTCCTCCTACTTTAGGTGGCTGCCTTTTGCCATACTATGCCCAATAGCAGGGCTGGCTCTGACTATGTGAGCATCCTAGAACTAGTCATGTGGTGGCACTGATTAATCTCACAAAAGGGCTGATGCACTGTTGTTGCTGTCTAGCAGAGATCCTTTACTCTCAGCATGGCAGACCTAATTTCAAGGGCCAGAGAGAGCTTTTCATAGTGTGGAGAAGTAATATTTGAAAAGTTTCTTGTGCTGAATTTCTGTTTGTCACACAGGCGTGGGAACGCTCTAAGAAAAAGAATGCCAGCATTTTAGCATAAAAAAGCAGAGGAACATTGTAAAAAAAGAACGATGGCAACTTACCATTAAATAAGAGGACGTTTTGAGACTCATGATATGCCTACAAGATTTGGCATGTGTAATGCTAGGAGAAGGGAAGAGAGATTATTCTTTACACATTTTTGAGGGGCTTCCAGATTGGTTACTGAAGGTGTTCAGCTATTCTTACTAACATTGATTCAGGAGAAGGACCATTTTGTAGCCCAAAATCTGTTAGGTTTTCAAGACAATGATATCACACTCATGCACATATGGGTATTAGGCTGCACCTTGGGGATGCTTCATGTACCTTTAAATTGATGACTCAATGTAGCAGATGTGGACTGAATGAAAAGATGAAATAGCAACACCGTCCTCCTTAATTTTCATGCTTCATCCTTCCCCTGTTTATAATAGGGGAACAGCCATAGTTCAGTGAGAGAGAGCATTGACTTTGCAAGAGTTTTTTTTTCAAAGGTAGTTGTTTGAGTTGTCTCCGGGTAGGGATGTAAAAGATTCCTGCTTGAAGCCCCAAAGAACTGCTGCCAGACAGTGTCAACTGCATGATGCTATATGGGCCCAGTAAAATGGTTCGGGGGAATCTGAAGCCCTATCTGCCACTTAGGTTGGAGTTGGAGGCATCTGGAGCTTTGCTTGCCACAAAAACACAGGAGACTGCCTTATACCAGGTTAGACATTTTGTGCATCTAGCTCAGTACCGCTCTCTCTCCCTGGTGCTGGCTCTCTGAGGTCTCTAAAGTGATTTTTTTTTGGGCGTCTTTACTCCTGGTTCTTTCGGACAAGGGATGCTTTGAATGGAACCTGGGCCCATTCACATGCAAAGCATAAATAATGGTCTCTCCCCATCATGAGAGCAGGAAGTGACAAATGGAAGCATTGGGGAGGGGGAGGGGAAAGAGCGATCCAAAGCTGTGTCATCATCCAATTCAGCAGTGACTTTACAGATGAAGGGCAACCTCCTAAGTAGTATCCTCATGAGCCTCAATGTACAGAGCATCCGGACACAATTTGGCTTGTAATTTGAACATCTATTTAGCTGTTCAAAAAACCAGAATGCTCATAAATCTCTCTCAACTATATCTAGTTTGTTGCCTTGAGCGAGAGAGAAAATGGAGACAAAGAGAGGTGTAAACAATTCTCCAGATATATGTGGAATCATTCCTCATACTGTATCAGGCAAGAATTAGGAGAAACAAAAGCCAAAATTGTTGTTGTTCCTTGCTCAGGTGCTAACTGGCTGAATGTTCAGTGACTGCAAACAGCCACAATAAGGAACCTCAAGACTGATTCAAGTCATGTTCAGGTGTGGAAAACAGAGCTTTTTGTGCACTACAGCTCCCAAAATCCACTAGCAAACACAACCAGTGGCCAGCCTGACTGGGAGGCCTATTCTAAAATAGTACCCTTCCAAGCTCTGATGAAAATACCTCAGGTCCCTTTTCTTGAGATCCCTATTCTGACCTTCATGGTACAACAGGAAGAATGTGTGTGTAGCCAGAAACATGAGCCAGTCTAGACCTGATATAAACCTGTAGCATGTTGTGCACCTGCTACAGATGTGAATGAATGCCGCCGACCTGGTGAGAAGCGAGCCTGCCAGCACGCCTGTCACAACACGCTGGGGAGTTTTATGTGCAGCTGTCGACCAGGCTACCACCTCGGCGTTGATCGAGTGTCCTGTGAAGGTATGAGCTGTTTCTCTTTACAGTTATTCGTTTATGGAGTGCCCTCGTTCAGCAGGGATTGAAGGAAAGACTGTTGACTGTAGCAGAGATTTTCAGGCAGAACAGAGAGAGTTACTCTGGAACTAGAGAGGAACAGGTCACAATGACGACGACGACGACGACGACGACGACGACGACGACAACAACAACAACAACAACAACAACAACAACAACAACAACAACAACAACGTGTCCTGTCAAGTTGATTCTGAGTTATAGCAATCCTTTCCTGGGTTTTCTAGATAGAGAAAGCATAGGTGTGGTTTACCATTTCCTTCTTCTGGGGGCATCCTGGGATTGTGCAGCTTGCCCAAGGCCACCCAGGCTGGATGTTCTCCCAGGAGGCACCCTGGGGAATCAAACTCCCAATCTCTGGCTCCGCAGCCAGATACCGAAATCTGTGAGTGTCCATGGCTAAGCAGGGATTTGACCCCAAGTCTCCTGAGTCCTAGTCAATCACTTTATCCACTAGTAGACCACACTGGCTAACATGTTCTAAGGAATCTGTAAAAATATGCAACTTTTAAAAATGTTATGTTCTTAGCATTCTTCCTTATCTTAACTGATGTCATAGGAACTATCTCATAAGTACGAACAGCTTTCTCTGGTAATGAGTTGGATATTGAATACTGATGGAATCACATGGTTATAGAATCAAAACCGTGCTGTTTGGATGCTAAGAAAATAGTGTTGTATACCAGAAGCACTACTAGAAAGCGAAGATCTTCATTCGTTCCATTACAAAAGTGACTACTGTATGCTATGGTGATATGAATAGATTGGCCAGAGAGACCCTAAGACTTTAGGGGCTATGCTTTTAGCTAATTGAAACATGTTTGTGAATATGTGAGGCAGATGAATAATTAAGAGATTGTGTGATGGAAACACATACAGAATTTCAAGTTAGGACCTCTTGAATCTAAACACCTTTCTGGTGATCTTTTTAAAAAATGTGTCCATTATTACTTTTCTTGTGGTCAAGCAGTGTAAAGAAGAGCAAAATTGTCCTGGGCCTAGATGGTGGGAAGTCAGGTAGAAACCAGTCCCATTTTTCCCCTGATCACAAAAATTCTTCACAACAGCAATTGTAGGAACATGCAGTCCGTGAGTAACGTACGTAGGGGGCTTCTGAGGCTGCTGGAGGGCACCCTATTTGGATGTCTTCTTATGACTTCTGAACTTTGTTTGACATTTTCTTTCCCTATCTTTCCCGGGCTCCACAGGTTTTTCAAAGACAGGACTGGCTCCATCTCCCATCTTGCAATCTCTCCAGCACCCACCGACTTTGCTGCGGCTTTCTCCTGAAGCTGTGGCCCCTGTCCTGCCCCCCAGGGGCCCTCCCCCTTCTCGAGCTCCCGTTCCCCACAGTATGCCCAGAACGCCAGCTCCTTCCCCGTCCTTCCCCACACTTTCGGCGCTTCCACATGCTGCCTCTCACACCCCTTCCCCCAGTTCCCCCTTTGGTAGCCCCTCCTTGCTGAGAACTGCCAGGCCGCCAGTGCCGACGAGCCCTCAGCTACCATCACTACTGCAAGAGGCAACTACAATGCCCCCTCTCTCAAGCCCTACAGTGCCACTAACCTCCTCTTCAGCCCTGCCTTCTGCTTGCTGGCATGGCGGGGCTCTTCGTGAGAGTGGCAGCCACTGGATAGATCCAGTGTGCCTGAATTGCTCCTGTGAGGTAGGTGTTATGTTCTGGGTCCCTGCCTTCTTCTCCACCTGTATTTCCCATCTTTACTGTGATCTCCATGACAGCCTGTTTTTTTTTCTTCCTTGCTTGCTGTAGAGTGGGCAAGTGCTGTGTCAAGCAGTGAAGTGTGAGGTCGTCTGCTCCCATCCAGTGCCACCAGGAGAGGGGGAGTGTTGTCCCATTTGTGCAGGTAAAACATAACTTTCAAATCAAGACTGTGTTGCCCCATCTGGTTATGATTTGTGGACCTCAAAAAGTGGGTCCTCTGTCTCCCTACCTTCCACTAGGTAACCCCAACTGCCCTTGAGTACCAGAGAGGATGCCCACTCTGAAGATTTCCTTGATAAACCTCTGTCCCTGTCTTGTCCTAGTTTTTGTCTCTCGGGAATGCCTTGTTAAAACACTGTCACCTAGAATTGTCCTTCTTTTGAACTGCCCTCATCTCACAAGGTGTCTCAGCAGTGGATCCCCAGATCAAAGGCAGACGCATCTTAGTGCTTGTGCACTGGGGGTGCTAATGCACGTGTGTGAACCTTAAAGTGTCATACCGTATATAGAGGTTGGCACAGTGGTTGAACTGCAGTACTGCAATCAAGTCTCTACTTATGACCTGAGTTCAGTCCTGATGGGTTCACAGTAGCTGGCTCAAGGTTGACTCAGCCTTCCATCCTTCCAAGGTGGATAAAATGAGTACCTAGCTTGGTAGGGGCCAATTGTTGTTTGCATAATTACTGTATGTTTTAAACCACCCAGAATTCCAAGGTGGATAAAATGAGTACCCAGCTTGGTAGGGGGCAAGTTGTTGTTTGCATAATTATGTTTTAAACCATCCAGAAAATGCTCCAAGCACTGTGGGGCAGTATATAAGTCAAACAAAAACAACAACACATGGAGAGGCTTCCTTTGAAGATTATAGGGCAAGTTTCTTCCATCTCACTTGTCTTCTGTGGAAATAACAAACCTTTTCTTGGTTTTTAAGATTTCATAGGAAATGTGGTTGCAGAAGTACAGCAGATGGAGTTTTCTGCAACATGTAATGGGGATTGGGGTGTGTGAGTAGTTCTTTTTGCCATGAGAAAAAGGCTGTTATGACAAACCTGCCCATACTTCCACATTTGGAATACTGGACAAAATGTGTCATTTAAAACTGGCTATATATTTTAAAAAATCAGTTTTTTTCTTGATTTAGAGTAGAAAGCTGAGGTGGGTCCCATTCCTGCATGAGTTCCTGCCTTTCTGAGGACAACATTTGCATTTTATTTCTTGCAGGGTGCTTCTATTATGGAATTTCCAGAGCTGAGGGGGAGGTTTTCTCTCTCTCCAAGGAAAACTGCACAGTTTGTGTCTGCCTGGTGAGTCTAGATGAAGGCTGAGGAAGGTGTGCTTTCTTGCTTTGGGAAGGACAAATGACTTGATTTGATCCCCTTGGTTTCCTATAAATGATTGCAAAGTTAGAGACACTCTTTCTTTCTTAAAAAGGATTACAGTCCATTTCCTTCAAGCAAGAGAGCCTGTGAGGAGGTAATCTCTCTGCCAGCTGATTTTGCTGTCAAGGTGTGCCTTGCAGAGGAGCAAACTCGGCTAGTCCTCTCTCCCTTCCTTGTTATTGTTCTTTATTCTTTAAATCACTTTTGGAGAGGCCAGCCTATCAAATGGGAGGATGCTTTCAAAAGGAGGTTTGACTTACAATAACATTTCAAATGGAGCACTGCCTTTCTATGAAAAAGGACATGAGGCTCTCCTATGTCTCAGCCTGAGGTACAACCTTTTATTGATGGTCTAAATCTAGGAAGATAGGGAGAAATAATGGAGGGAACTCTGGGACAGGAACAGCCATCTGCTTTCTGTGTGCAACATCTGGCCCATGACTAGATTTATCTGGTCTCTGAGATGACACCTAAAGGTGAAGATTTCTATCTACAGAAGATTCAAGGTGTGAAGATTTTACTTTTTGGAGTGCCAGCTCAAAGGTAGGAACTACACTGTTGGGAAAAACCAGATCAAATCTGGAGTAACTCCTGTTGTATCCTATGCTGTCAAGCTCTACTGAAGTTTAAAATGGCATCCAAATGTTCTGCCCCCCCCCCCGCTCTGGATTTTACAGAAACATTGTAGTTGCAGGCGGTATAGGACTGGCTGTCCCCCCCCCATCAGTCACCTGTCTGTCCTTTCCCCACCTCCCCAGTTTGCCCCCTTTTTGCTGAGGCCTGCTTCCAGTAAAGCAGCAATGTTGACAGTTCACAGTGAATACCTGGGTACCCTTCTCCCTTTTGTAAAGTCATCACATCTACACTTCTTCCTGAGAAAAGAAGAAAGTTTGTTTATTAGAGAAGTGAGGAGAGGCACAAGAGAAGAGGTGTGAGAAAGAAGAAAGTGACATTAGCAAACTCAAGAATAGCAGTTGATTGAAGGTTGGGGCAGGTTAGAACAGGTACAGCAAACCTGAGCAAGTCCGCTCTATTCTTCTTCATGCAAAGGTATACATCTTCTTGAAGCATCATCCATTTTAAATGCTATTGCAAGTGTGAACTGAGTAGCACCCAGTTGCTTCCGATGGTTAATAACGTATGGTGCAAAAACTTACTTGTGCTATCAGAACAATTGTAACAATAAGAGCAAGCTGCCCGCTGAGAAATAAGGAGGAGCACAACAAATTCCTTCATAAATCTAATGTCCCAAGTTCTGGGGAATCTTATATTTCTGCTAGATCAAATGGAGCCTTTGCCAGGCCTGATTGTGTTAATAAGATGCAGTTAATAACAGCTCATCACAAGCCACAGTGAGGAGAGAGGCAAGGCCAGCCCTACCATTAGACAGAGTAAGGTGGCCTTTCTAGGCACCTTGTTTTAGTTGTCATTAAAAAAAATCTCCCAAAACCCCAGTGTTTGTTTGTTCAAATGAACAAAATGAACGAACATTCCTTCCTTCCTTCCGTCTGTCTGTCCATCCATTTTTATTGTCTGGGACAAAAATCTGTAGGATTTGTAGTGACTCTTGGTTCCAAAATAACATAGCTTGATTTGGGTTCTATGTACCTTGACTGGTGTATGAAGAGAAAGGAGGCATTTTCTGTAGGCTATCTTGGGCAACCTTGAGACACCTTGAGTGGGATCCATAATAAGATCTTCGCCTCTAATTTGGTGAAAAGAAGTGCTCGTGATTCTTTAGTATCTTTGATGTATGCTTGAAAATGCAGGCATGAGAGAATGCTAATCTGCCCTGTAATCTTTGTTGTTTCTTGCTTCTAGGCAGGGAACGTATCCTGTATTTCTCCAGAATGTACACCCAGTCAATGCTCCGCTCAGACTGACTGCTGTCCCTGCCAGCCAGAGCCAGGTAGACCTCTCATGACACAGAACCCTATGCTCAACCACAAACACTGCCTTGGAGAGATAGACCAGGTGTCCTCAGATTAAGCACATGCAGTATCGCTCGCTTTCTCTGTGTGTGTGTGTAAATCAAGGCAGGGCAACATCTGGGGGCTTGAGGGCCAAATTCAAGCCCCTTGGTCTGACCATGGGCAGGAAAAGGCCAAAATGGCCTTTTTTAAAAGGAAAAAAAAATCAAACAGGATGTATCTGAGTGCACCTGGTTTGCAGTTTGAGGGACAGGTTGGGGTGGGGAATCTTGAGGGATGCCACAAATGACCAGGACAAAATCATAAAAATTAGCATTTAAAAAAGTCTCTCTCTATATAAATTGATAGAATTTTCCTGGTGTCTGAGGTCTATGGGAAGATCATTCCACTGGGGGTGGGGGCACCATGGCTGTGAGGAATCCCTCTTCCTGCCACCACTAACACTCTTGCCCAGAGAGAGAGAGAGAGATCCTTGGGCCAGGGACCCTAATCTCCACGGCAGCGCTGACCTTCTCTTGTCTTCTTCTGTAGTGGAGTGCCATTTCCGTGGCCAGATCTATGCAGAGGGGACAGAGTTCAGCCTGGACGGTGATGATTGCACCACCTGTGTTTGCAGGGTAAGCGTCTGCCGAAGTCCCTTGTTTCCCTTCTCCCAGAAGAGTTGCTGGCCTTCTCAATGAGAAGGAAAGCACCTGTTATTCACTGGACCCAACTCCCACAATCCAGAAAAAGAACTGTTTCAGCCTTGAATCTGTGCCCTTACTGTGTATAAAATGTGCTTCTGCCTCCTCTGTCAGCAAGGGGAAGCCGAATGCTCCTTCACTCCCTGTCCCACTCTGGAGTGTCCCCAAGATGACTGGGTGTTGGCCCCGGGGCAGTGCTGCTTCACCTGCCGAAAGGCTGCACCTACAACAGGTAACGTGTGTACAGGTGTCATTGTGTCATGAGGTTACGTGTGGGTTAGCTGATAGATCTGCAAAAAAACAAAAAACCTCACAGATCCACTGGCGATCTATGTCAAGGACCCTGTGGGGGGAGGTCACTTGGTGCACGGCACCCTTGGCCCTCCATCCTCATGCATTTTGTTTTGTTCTTGCTGAGGTCTCACTCTGTTCCCACCTCTGCCAATTACTGGCCCCTCTTCTCCCTGCCAGGTTGCTTGGTGGATGACAATGGAGTTGAATTTCCAGTTGGACAAATCTGGTCACCGGGTGATCCCTGTGAGTTATGCATCTGCCAGGTGAATGATAACCTGCTCTACTTCACTCAGTTTTAACCTTCCAGTCTCCTCTTGGACAAACTGTGTTATCCCTATGCCCCCATCCTAGCCAGTTACTCTGTTACTCTGATGGATAAATGTGAGCTCCTGCCTGTGTATGCACAGGGGAGAGGGTGCTAACCAGTTATGGCTCTCTTACTAGTGCTGAGTGACAGATTTATAACATGACCAGTTAAGTGGGACTAAACTGCATGATTTTTGCATGTTCACAGCTCACTGGTAGTACAGTAGATGTCAGTGAATCAATTGTCTTACAGGGAAAGGTCACAAAGGCTGTTTTTTTCTTTTGTTTTTTGGTTTTTTAAAAAATATATAAATACCTTTTCCCTGCCAGTCCCACACTTTCCTTCTTGTCCTTTGGTCTCCTTACTTCTTGCAGTTTCTCCCCCATCCTGTAGCTGCCTCACAGGTTTGTTTCTTCTGTGCTACTTTTGCTTTGTTTGGATGTCACAGTAGAACAGAGAAGGCAAATGTGGGATTACAATCCCTGTGGTATATACTGTAATGTCAGAGAAGTTGGTCAGCCTTAGAAGTTGGCCCCGGTTGCTAGGTCCTCTGGGAAATCAGAGACTTTAGAATTTGAATTCTAAGGTTCAATGGGTATTCAATAAACTGAATGTATCATCATGGCCTATATGCCAATGGGCTTTGAAAATACACCTCCTGGGGGAAGGAGAGTCAAACATCTCTGGACCCATTGAACGAAAATGGACCAGCAGGCAGGTAATGGCTGCTGCACAGGAGACAAATACCGACGACAAACACAAGCCTGCTTTTGTGAAGAGTATTGATGCCGGCAACAGTCCAGCAGTTTGTGCTGTGGGTCTCTGTGAAGTTCTTTTCTGTTGCAGGCAGATGGCTCAGTGAGCTGTAAGAGGACAGATTGTTTAGAAACATGTCCTCACCCGATCCAGATTCCAGGACAATGCTGTCCAGATTGCTCAGCAGGTAAATTTTGCCTTCTTGGAAAGTTTTTTTTTCTTTTTTGGGGGGAGCCAAATACTTTCCTGTCTCTAAGGATAGGATTTCAAACTCTGCTGCCAACTCCTGTACTTAGTGTTAATTTCTTACTTTTCCTTATATAGGAGTAAATGTCTTTCTCTGTTTCTTGCTCTCTGGATGCTCGTGTACTTCTCCTCCTCCCTTCTTGGTATGACCTGAGAATAAAACTTCCTGCACCTGATAAATATATTTTATGTTATAATGAAGCAGTTGGCATTTAAAGTGCCTCAAGACTCTCTCCTGGCTTCATAGCAGAACTCTCACGTGGCTAACCCTCTTAGGCAGTGGACTCCCAAATTATGTTATAATGAAGCAGTTGGCATTTAAGGTGCCACAAGACTCTCTCCTGGCTTCATAGCAAAACACTCACATGGCTAACCCTCTTAAGCAGTGGACTCCCAAAATGTTTTTGGACTAAAATTTCCAGAAGCCTTCACCATTAGCTGTGCTGGGCAGGATTTCTGGAAGTTGCAGCCCAAGAATCTCTGGGGACCCAAGGTTCTAGATGTTTCCACAGATAGCAGTCCAAGAATCTCTGGGGACCCAAGGTTTGGGACGACTGCTCTAGATGTTTCCACAGATAACCTCCTTTTCCTAATCTGTGGTAACAATGACTTTGTTCTCTCCCCTTGCTGTTAGAGAAGATACATCACAGCACATGTCATGTGTCCCTATTTATCTACTTACATTTGCATGCTTTCGAACCGCTAGGTTGGCGGGAGCTGGGACAAGCGACGGGCGCTCACTCCGTCGCGTGGATTCGATCTTACCCCTAGTTCTTATAAAGAGTGTATCTTCACTGCTCAGAAATAAAAACTAAAGGTTGTTGAAGACATGATTTAAAACTACTACCTTGCTAAGATCTACACTAAGTGGTCATGCAGTGGTTTCCAACTTTGGGTAACCCAGGTGTTACCCAACTCCCAAAAATCTTGGCCAGCACAGTAATGTTATACCACATTTTCAAATACTGGCTGAAATTCATCAGTTAAGTGGCAACTAGAGTAGGCTCATTGCATCTGTGCAGCTTACAGAAGAGTTGACTCACCAAGTCCCCACTGATTCCAAGGGGCCTGCTCTAGCTGTGACTTAGGAAGTGGATCCAGCCACTGTGTGTTTAGTCTGCATAGACTTCACCACATTTCCTTCACACCAGTGTTTTTAGGGTTGTTCTTTGATCTCTTCTGAAAGGCTGAGCTGTGTTGCAACAGAACCGCTCACACTTCAGCGTGCCTTCCTTATTTATTGCGTACCATTTTTAATATCTGATTTTTAAAAAAATGATCAGGTGCTCAATAATGGCATCCACACCCCAGTTCTACCCGATGCTTGCTATATAGAGAGTTTCACATGCTGCACATGGCACTGGCCCTCACTGCCTACAACAAAACCATGTCTTTTAAAAGTGCACTAAGTAGAGTGCCAAGAGTGTTTATGCTTGTAAACAGTGCATTGCTCTTCCAACCTTCACAAACACAGAGAAACAAACAGGAGTTTCTGTGGAAAGAAAAATGACTGAAAAAAACACTGGGAAGTACAGAAAGGCTTGGCACTCACTGCCTACAGCAAAACCATGTCTTTTAAAAGTGCACTAAGTAGAGTGCCAAGAGTGTTTACGCTTGTAAACCGTGCATTGCTCTTCCAACCTTCATAAACACAGAGAAACAAACAGGAGTTTCTGTGGAAAGAAAAATGACTGAAAACAGTGGGAAATACAGAAAGGCAACAAATAGATGACTTTGTACGAGCGCTCTGTAATACACATGTGAATTGAACCATGGCAATTTCATCATAAGCCCTTGTTTGAATGCCGCCCTGGGTCTGGGTTTACAGAGGCATTTCCTTGAACAATAAAATGGGTACAGAGCATATAGGCACAAGGATATGGAGTATGAGATTCTCAGTGCTTATAAAAAGGTGAGGGAGCAGCTAGTCGTGTTAGTCTGTTGAATAATAATTTACAGTAATGGTCCGGAGGTGGTTTTGGGCCACTCTGAAGAAGTGTGCCTAGTCGCACAAAAGCTTATGGAAAAATATCTAGTTAGTCTCCTAGGTGCTACATTACTGTCTCTGGTATAAGTGTCTATAAGTAAATCCAGTATATTGAATTAAGTTCCTGCTTTTTATTTGTAGTCCATAATAGTCAAGTTGTAAAGGAATAACTGTGCCACACATTGGAGAACTAAAGATCAACTCAGTCATGTCTATCATATCATGCTTCTCAGAAGGCTGTCAGGCATGTCCGATGCTCTGCAGAAACAGGCAGTTTGTATGACCCCAGCTGACCAAATACACATTATGCTCATTCTTAACTGTAGGCTGCACTTATGCAGGAAAAACCCACTACAACAATGAGACATTCCCCTCTGTTTTGGACCCCTGCTTAAGTTGCATCTGTTTGGTAAGTACTCTGCTTCTCTGCTCCCAGCCAACAGGCATTGTTCCATCCTAATAAGAGATCCTACATAGCAAGATCCGAGCAGCACCTTGCAAGGGCTTGTATGATCTCCTCCCTAGGAAGAGGAAGGCATGTTTCTCAGTGAGAGTTGAATTTAGTTATATGTGTTTTGTGTTGCTACATGGAAATCCTTAATAACAAAAGAGGGGTAATTAGTATTACTGCAAGTTTGCTACGTAAAGATGCTGACAGCAAGCCTGAGTTTTGGACAAAAAATGTCATTGAGACAGGATGATTGGTTAATAACTGCTGGATTTCTCAGTGGTTTAGGTATCCAGATATGGAGAGGAGTTTGATTTGCCACTCTGGCTCCTTGACAAGGGCTGGACATGATCCACAGGGTCCCTTCTAGCGCTGCAGTTCCAAGATTATCTAAGATTATTATTAATATTTCTTTGCAATTAGTAGTGCCCCTTTAATGAAGAGGTGGCAAGAGTATATATTCTTGTTATATTCTTCTTTGTGTCTCAGTGCTTTCTGTCATCTAATCTTCTACTGCAACTTTTGTTGCCAGTACACGTTGTCAATTATCTCTGGAGTCAATACCTCTTGTTGTGTTTAATTTTGCCAAAGGCTTTTTCATATTTTATAATGCAAGCATACATATAGGCATGTCTTCCAAAATACCTGTATACAGAACAATGCTTGTCTGGTTCCAAATTCTCCTCTGACTCCAGACTGTATATCTCCTTTGCTTGCTTTGCACTTTAAACAAATCTGAAGCAAACAGCTCGTTAAGCCTAATGTTCTATAATCACTAAAAGCAACAGCAGTTTCCTTTTTGTGTGACAAATAAAAGTCAATTCCAACCATAATTTCAAGAATGAATCTTGTTCCTTAGATTTGGTTGAAAAGAGTCATGAAAATGCCAAAGACATAATGTTCTGGTAGTTTTAATACTTGTGTGAAAACCTCTGAGTCCAGGAGCTTTACCATTTTTCTTAGGCATATTGCATTTCAAATTTTCTATTTCTGTATTGCTAGACCAGTATCAACATCTGGTATAATCTGGGCTGTTATCTTCAGACAGCTCTTTGAAGTACTCCCTTCACACCATGATCAATAGGTTAATTACTATGCATAAGTATCTGTGAGGATTCTGTCATCCAGGTGAGGTTACCTGGAAGCTGAGTCATGGCAACTGGACTTCTTTCTTATTAGTTTGAAATGTTTTCATCCAAGTAGCTTCTTCAGTCTGAGGAGAGTTGATAGGAGACCCCTGATATATTCTCCATGTTGGTTTCACTTCCCCCTGGTCTGAATAGGCTCATTAGATGAATGAAGGACAGGGGTGAGTGAAAATCACACCTCTGCAGTCCTTCTCCACCCGTTGTCCTGAGTCATTAACAGTCATTAACAGTGGTCTTTCTGACCCGTGCTTCTGATCTTTCTGGGAATGGATGAAAGGGCAGCGTGATAAACAGGATATGACAATGAGTGAAGAAGGACTGCAGAAGTGGGATTTTCACTCACTCCCCTCATCCATTCTCCATCTAACAGGCCTATTCAGACCAGGGGGAAGTGAAACCAATGTGGAGGATATAGCAGGGTAAGGTAAAGGTAAAGGTTGACAATTTTTGCCCAGTCATGTTTGACTCTAGGGGGCGGTGCTCATCCCTGTTTCCAAGCCATAGAGCCAGTGTTTTGTCCAAAGAGAATCTTCCGTGGTCACATGGCCAGTGCGACTTAGACACGGAACGCTGTTACCTTCCCACCGAGGTGGTCCCTATTGATCTACTTGCATTTGCATGCTTTCGAACCGCTAGGTTGGCGGGAGCTGGGACAAGCGACGGGCGCTCACTCCATCGCGTGGATTCAATCTTACGACTGCTTGGTCTTTTGACCCTGCAGCACAGGCTTCTGTGGTTTAGCCCACAGCACCACCACATCCCAGGGATCTCCCACCAACTCTCCTCAGACTGAAGAAGCAACTTGGATGAGTAGCAAAACTTTTCAGCCTAACAAGAAAGAAGTCCTGTTGCAATGACTCAACTTCCAGATATGCATAAGTATGTACTTTTTAATGATTTAGTTGCATGGCTGTGGAGCTGGAGGTTACAGTTTTGTTTTAAGAGCAATTTTGTACAATCTCCTTGAAAATAATTTGTACGTGGTATGGGTGAATACAAATTCCTCTTTACAATATTATATCATTCATTCTCCACATTCACTTCATGACTGTAGTCCATATTTCCCACAAAATCTCCACATGGTCCTTCTGTTCTTACCATTAGGACCACCTCTTATAAAATGTAAATGTTCCTTTTTCATAAAACATCTAACAGCTCTGAGTTCTTCATAGAATGTTGTATACCTTCTTCATCTTTATTAGCCATTGGGGGATATACTTGTAGAACACTGATCTTTGTGAAATTTCTCTTTAGTAGGAGAAGTGTTATCTAGTTTGACTATGATGTTTATAACAATTTATGGCTTTCATTATGATTGCAACTCCATAATAGTGCTTTATATAAATACTACATAGATAGAACATAATGGCTGAAGTTCTAGTGCACAGCAATGATGGTGTCACCATCAGTGGCAAATCATTGTGTATTAAAGACTATTTTTGGTAGTTTTGAAGGTGCACATGACTTTGTCAGATGAGCTGCATGCAGCCCAAAATTGCCTTTAGCAGCAATTGGCCTTTAACCAACAACACATACTTACCCTGTGCATTTGAAGTTCTTAATTTGACTTTTGTCAGCGCACTATCTCCATCTAAAGTCTGCTGGGGACTGAAGCCCTTTTTCCTTTTTTTCTCTAGCTATGATGAGGGCACTCGGAAGGTGTCATGTGGAGGTAGCTCAGTGCTGTGGGCAGTTGTGATGGCTATCACCATGCCTGAAGTTCTCGATACCAAAGTCTGGCAGACATTCTTTCTCTTTGGGCTTTGTTTGATACTGGCATTGCTGTGGACCAAGATCAAAATTAGAGGAGATAATTACTTCCTCAGGATAGCAGAGGATTCCTGTTCATGTTCTTCTGCTCAGAACTGTTGATTTTCCAGGGGACTGGATTAATTAATTGCCACTTGATGCACAGCACATCTAGGGCATAAAATCAGGTCTGGGGGCCAAGCCCTCTGCACTTATTTCTGTAGATCAATCACATGCTACTGAAATACTACACATCTCCTGTGATCCATCCTTCAAAAATAAGCCAAACTGGTAATCTCTAACAATAGTACTTTTCAATGCTACTCGAATTGTTTTAGTAATAGATTGGTAGCATGTCTTTTGTACCTCTGGAGATGTAAGCTGGGGCCAGGTTTAAACTGTGGGCAAGGCTGTCTACACTACTGTGCCATTAATAGGATGCTTCTGTCTTCTCTTTCTCTCTCTCTGTCTCTTACAGTTGGGTTCTGTGGCCTGTTCGCCTGTAGACTGTATTGTCTTTTGTACATATCCTTTCCATCCAGAAGGAGAGTGCTGTCCAGTTTGTCATGGTAAGTGCTATATTCCTTGGCTCTCCTAGATAATACTTGACTTTTCTTTTATTCTTTCTTGATTTACTACTTACTCTATTTCATATTAATTTGTTATTGGATGCCTTATGTAATGTTTTTGTGTTATTTTATTGTTTTTATGTCATATTGGAAGCTGCCTAGAGTGGTCGTATAGACCAGATGGGCGGGATACAAATCAAATCAAATCAAATCAAATCAAATCAAATCAAATCAATCAATCAATCAATCACTCAATCAATCAATCACTCAATCAATCAATCAATAATAGTTAGAAAATGACTTATAAAAATTTAGGGCACAACCAACCAACCAACCAATCAATCAAAATAGTTAGAAATCGACTTATAAAAATCTAGGGCAATTTGTGCAATATAAGAGGGAATCAACCTGACAACATGTAATTATTATTATTTAATTGTGCACTGTAGTATGGCCACATCTTGGAGGGGAATAGGTGCATGGCTACAGTCAGTCTGGTTTCTACTGCAGGAGAATTATGTATGTACATTGGATTTTTGCTTTTAACCATGTTTCCTAATTCTAAGGATATAGGGAGGCAGAGATATGGCTACTGAATAGTGCTCTGAAATGCTCTGCATATACTCATGGGCACACAAAATATTTCTGAGGAAGAATTCTGAAGAACCCCGAAAGGTTTTCTACTCTTGGTTTACCAACTGATCATTAGGCCCACTCATTGCTGCTCTTCAGTATTATACATGGGAGCAGTGTCTCCTCTTTTTTTAAAAAAAATGACATGGTTTTATTGACTGTTCTAAATCCAGAAAAAGGGTCAATTCTGTGTGAAGTGCAAGCAAGCAACTGTTGCATGGATGGTAGGGAAGAGGGAAGAAAGACATGGATCAATGTGGAAGCTTCATCAAATGGGTCACTAGCTCCATGCTTTAGGGCAGCATTCATCAAACCTGCTAGGTAATAGACATTCCTGACTACAAATCCCACCATCCCCCTGGCAATTAAATTTTGTGGTTTGGGGGAGCTAGTGTGAACTGCATGAAAACTTAGTTTGAAGTAATAAGCAACAAAATGCCACCAGGGGGACCATGTTGGCTGCAGAAAAATGTGCTATTTTCCTCCTACATTTTCATTTGAAACTTATACTTTAGGCAAGAACTCTGTTGCTTTTACCTGCATGTGGTACAGAAGTTGGGGAAACTTTGGTGGCTAATTGGCAAAGTGCTAATCCCACAACCAGGTACACAATCAATCAACACATGAATGGCACCTCCTCAAATAGCCCCAGCAAGCAAAAGCAACAGGATTCAGGCCCTCATGTTTAACTTACTGTTCAGTTTCATGAATTTAAAAAAATATTTACCCACTACTAAAGTTAATCTAAATTACTGTACCTTATAGGATACGTGTGTATCCTATAACTGATATTATAACAAACTAGGTCTTTTGTTCTAATGTTCCAACTGGTGCAATTGATAGCAGGGGGCTTACAGTCCCTTTTCATCTCCCTGTGAAAGCTTTCATACTTCGCTTATATTGATGTGCAGCATTCAACATCTTCAGTTTTCCAGCTGTGAGTTATATTTGTATTTTAGTGCTGGATGTATATTTGAGTATATAAAATCCTTCTGATATGTCTCATATGGATTCAATAGGACTCAAAACAGTGACTGCTATTATTAAATTATATTTTGTGCTGGCTTTGTTCCTCAGACTGCAATTACAAAGGAAGGAAAGTGGTGAATGGACACAACTTTGCACCAGAAGGTGAACCCTGCCTTAATTGCACCTGCCAGGTGAGCTGTGAGGCTCTGCAAACATAGGATGATCAAGCAATAATATAGATAGTTTCCCTTCAGCCTCTCTCCCCCAGAATTATCTCCCAGCCATTACATTTTCCAATGATCTCTTCTAAGGCTAACAGGCTTATGAGTTTTCAATATCAATCTGTTATAATCCTTTAGGGAGACCAAGTAATTTGTAATTTATTAGCAACTTAGAAAATAATAAATGAGTATCTTTTAACTAGTTGTCTGGATAGCCCAGTGGTTTCAGTATCTGGCTGTGGAGCCAGAGGTTGGGAATTCGATTCCACATTGTGCTTCCAGCAAATAGAGCCAGTTTGTGTGGCTTTGAGCAAGCTGCACAGTGCCAGAGCACCCCCAGAAAAAAGGGAATGGTAAACCACTTCTGAATATTCTCTACCTGGGAAACTCTGAAAAAGGTCGCCATGAGTCAGGAATGACTTAATGGTGCATGATTATTACTATTATCTTTAACTAGAGTTCCAATATCCAAAATATTATTTCAGCTCAAGCATGAAGATGCATGCCAACCAGGCTGCCCACAGGGCAGTGCAAATTCTAAACATGATAATAGCCTGCTTCAGGTTGAAGACTTCCTGCTGAGTGAAGCTGTAGAAAGCCTCTCCATGCGGCTACCTACCCTCTTTCCTCCTCTTTTGTATGCTGGACGATGAGATCAAATATCCATGTGTAATTTAACCAGTTTTTTTGGTTACATCCAAGCATGGGTGTCAAGGGGAACTGTGGTTAGTTTAAACATGGACAGAGAAGCTTTCACTCTTCCTTTTTAGTACATAAAGGCAGAAGAGATGCCGTAGCTTGTGAGCCTACGGCTCCCCTCAATTTACCCATTGGCAAAATTTCTTGTTACCTGGCCAAAATTTCTCTGAATCAGTAAACATTTCTCCCGTGTTCTTTTGTATTTTCTCAGCTTGGAGAGGTAAGCTGTGAGAAGAGACTCTGTCCAAGCAATTGTGCTGAGCCCTCTGCTCCCCCTGCACATTGTTGCCCCAACTGCCAAGATAATGAAATTACAGGTAAGGATAATCTATGACACCCTACAGAATAAGCAGGGGCCATTCAAGTGTTATGTTTCATTCCTCCAAAGTCATACATATCACATAAAATAATGAATTAGAGAGCGGTACTACCATGGCTCCTGCCAACCTAGCAGTTCGAAAGCATGTAAAAATATGAGTAGATAAATAGGTACCACCTCGGTGGGAACGTAATGTGTCTAGTCGCGCTAGCCATGTGACCACAGAAACTGTCTTCGGACAAACGCTGGCTCTATGGCTTGGAAATGGGGATGGTCACTGCCCCCTAGAGTCAGACACAACTCTACAAATTGTCAAGGGGAACCTTTACCTTTACTACCATGGCATCTCTCTTCTCAATGGTGTAGGGAAGCTGCTTGCCTGTGTCGTGCTGAAGAGACTCCAGGTGCTTGCAGACAGAGTCTATCCAGAATCACAGTGTGGATTTTAAGCTAACAGATCCACCAATGGCACGGTATTTCCCCTCAGACAGTTGCAGGAGAAATGTAGGGAACAACGACAGCCACTCTTTGAGGCCTTCATAGATCTTACAAAGACCTTTGATTTGGTTAGCAGGGACGGCCTTTTTAAAATCCTTCCCAAGATTGGATGTCCACCTCAACTCCTTAACATCATCAGGTCCTTTCATGATGAAATGAAGGGCACTGTAGTTTTTGATGGCTCAATATCAGATTCCTTTGACATCCAAAGCAGAGTGAAATAGGGCTGTGTCCTCACACCAACCCTTTTTGGGATCTTTTTTGCTATCATGCTGAAACACACATTTGGAACTGCAACAGAAGGTGTCTATCTCCGGACTGGATCAGATGGAAAGCTCTTTCATCTCTCTAGATTGAGGGCGAAGGCCAAAGTCTAGCTGAAATGCATGCGGGACTTCCTCTTCACAGATGATGCAGCTGTTGTTGCTCATTCTGCCACAGACCTCCAACAACTTATACATCGTTTTAGTAAGACCTGTCAATATTTTGGTTTAACAATTAGCCTGAAGAAAACACAAGTCATGGGCCAGGGCGTGGACTCACCTCTCTCTATTACTCTTTCTACACAAGAACTGGAAGTTGTTCATGATTTCGTGTACCTTGGCTCAACAATCTCTGACACACTCTCTCTCTAGATGTTGAGCTGGATAAACACATTGGCAGCTACCATGTTCCCTAGACTCACAAAGAGAGTACTGTATGGCTTAATAAGAAGCTGACAGCATATACCAAGATCCAGGTCTATAGAGCCTGTGTCCTGAGTACACTTCTGTACTGCAGTGAGTCCTGGACCCTTTGTGCACGGCAGGAGAGGAAGCTGAACACGTTCCATATGCATTGTTCCGACACATTTTTGGTATCACCTAGCAGGACAGAGTTCCAAACAGTAGTCCTAGAACGAGCTGGAATTTTTAGCATATATACATTACTGAAACAGCAACGTCTACGTTGGCTTGGGCATGTTGTGAGAATGGCTGA